CAAAGCACCTGGTTTCGACATGATTCCTGCTGAATTATACAAAGAGGGTGGACCATCGCTGACGGATAAGCTATTGCGTCTTTTCCAGATAATCTGGCAGACGGAAACTGTACCTCAGGACCTCAAGGATGCCGCAATTATCCACCTGTACAACTACAAAGGAAAGCACTAGGCCTGCGACAGTCAACGCGGAATATCACTGCTGTATATCGTAGGCAAGATCTTTGCCTGAACCCTTCTGAACCACCTGAATGCACAACTGGAGCTAGGTCTCCTACCCAAAATGTTAGTGTGGTTTCCGCAATAAACGCGGAACTATCGATATGGTGTTTGCCAGGCAGCTCTAAGAGAAATTTCAGGAACAAAATACGGACCTATATTCCACATTTGTCGACCTGAATAAGGCTTTTGACAGGGCCAATAGATGTGGCCTGTGGAAAATCATGAAGAAGTACGGATGCCCAGACAAGTTCACTAACATCATCTGTCAGCTGCATGATGGCATGAGGGCCCTAGTTCAGGTCAACGGCCAGTCATCTCAAGCATTCCCTGTGACAAACGGTGGTGTGTCCTGGCTCCCTCACTCTTCCGTATTATGTATTCTGCAATGCTGTCTAATGCGTTCAAGGACTCCACCACGGGCTTGCCAATCCGTTTCCACACAAGCTTCTGTTTGCGGACGATTGTGCCCTCAACGCTGCCTCAGAAGCCGCCATGCAACACAGCGTTGATATCTTCTCTGAGGCCTGCATCAACTTTGGCTTCAGAATCAGCACAAGAAGACTGAAGTGATTATCAGCCAGCTCCCAGTAAGCTCTACGTTGAACCCAGCATCACCATCAGCGGATAGCGTCTAACCGCGGTGTATAGATTAACTTACTTGGGCAGCACCCTCTCCAGATCTGTCATCATGGATGACGAAATGAATGGCAGACTCGCAAAAGCTAGTGCAATCTTTGGCAGACTCCGCAGCAACGTTTGAGACAGGAGAGGTATCAGACGAGAAACGAAGATCAAAGTCTATAGCGCAGCAGTCTTCTCGACATTGCTCTACCGATTTGAAACGGGGACAGTAGGGTCAGAAGTAGCGTTACGCAAAGAAACTAAGGCTGAGTTTTCATTTTTACTTATTTATTTTTACCCGGGTCTTTTTTTTTCAGGTAGGAATTTAAAATAAAATTGTAATTTAAAAATTTTTTTTTTTTTTGTTGTATAATTTTTCAGTCGATTTAAGAATATTTTCGTTTGTTCCCTTGCATACTTAATTGTCTCGTGGGGGGAGGGGGTGTCAACAAACTTTGGACTCATACTGGTAATATCATTTATATATATATGTATATGTAAATACATATTGTTGAATCGATTGATGGATCTTGATCAAACTTGCCTTATATATCCAGCATTATCCAGATTCATATACAGGGGGTGGGGGGGGGGTGTCATGAACTGTTTTTTACTTTCAATTTGGATCCCTAAATTCTCTTCCCCCCCCCCTTTTTTTTTTTTACATGAGCTTTTTAAATCAATTGACCGACAACTATTCCTACATGAATGGATGGATCTCGGCAAAACGTAGTGCACACGCACTTGTTTAGCCACAATCAAACGCCGAAGGATAATGCAAGTATAAAATCTACTCCTTTAGGGCTTTGGGCCCCATTTCATGTTTCATATGCAATATAAATACCACTAGGCTTAGACAACACTGTAGGTTTTATATGAATGAATAAATCTAGGCTGATGACATTGTAATGGCTCAGCTTTTAAATTTCAAATCCGTTATATGTGTGATTCGTGGGTTGGGGGGGGGGTATCTCACTCAGACATGGCGAAACTAAGACGGTACTTTATGGAATTGGCCCCTACTTTTTATTGTAATGGTTTTAGAATGTTTCTTATTGGAAAAATACTTACGTGGAAAAGTAATCTTTCACAAGTTTGGAGCAGTTGATGAAATGTAATCCACGGAGAGATATAGGGGGATCTGAAAGCTACTAATTGAAATGTTTGTTTAGTCTCGTACCTGTTGTACAGTAGAAACACTGTCACGCTTCTTTGAAAACGAGTCATGTGTGTCCCAATGCGTTGGAAAGTTACACTCGGTTTAAAAAAAAAAAATGTTATCTTAGTCCGAAGCATCGGAAAAATTTGGCAAGTTCACTCACTAAGCTGGGTGGCCGAATGGTTTACACTCACTAAGCTGGGTGGCCGAATGGTTTACACTCACTAAGCTGGGTGGCCGAATGGTTTACACTCACTGAGCTGGGTGGCCGAATGGTTTACACTCACTAAGCTGGGTGGCCGAATGGTTTACACTCACTGAGCTGGGTGACCGAATGGTTTACACTCACTAAGCTGGGTGGCCGAATGGTTTACACTCACTGAGCTGGGTGACCGAATGGTTTACACTCACTGAGCTGGGTGGCCGAATGGTTTACACTCACTGAGCTGGGTGGCCGAATGGTTTACACTCACTGAGCTGGGTGGCCGAATTGTTTACACTCACTAAGCTGGGTGATCGAATGGTTTACACTCACTGAGTTGGGTGACCGAATGGTTTACACTCACTAAGCTGGGTGGCCGAATGGTTTACACTCACTAAGCTGGGTGGCCGGATGGTTTACACTCACTAAGCTGGGTGGCCGAATGGTTTACACTCACTCAGCTGGGTGGCCGAATGGTTTACACTCACTAAGCTGGGTGACCGAATGGTTTACACTCACTAAGCTGGGTGACCGAATGGTTTACACTCACTGAGCTGGGTGACCGAATGGTTTACACTCACTAAGCTGGATGACCGAATGGTTTACACTCACTAAGCTGGGTGACCGAATGGTTTACACTCACTAAGCTGGGTGACCGAATGGTTTACACTCACTAAGCTGGGTGACCGAATGGTTTACACTCACTGAGCTGGGTGACCGAATGGTTTACACTCACTAAGCTGGGTGGCCGAATGGTTTACACTCACTAAGCTGGGTGGCCGAATGGTTTACACTCACTAAGCTGGGTGGCCGAATGGTTTACACTCACTGAGCTGGGTGGCCGAATGGTTTACACTCACTAAGCTGGGTGGCCGAATGGTTTACACTCAACCCTTTGTACATGTGTGTCACAGAAAGAGACAACCCCAACTCTGTGTGTAAGTTTGTTTTTGTCTGTGTTTATACATCACTTTATATTTAAATCTGCATACCTCTACTTCTCCCTATGCATGCACATACCTAAGCTATCTAGATAGATAACAATACCTATATCTATGAACTATACATATGCCTAACTGTACCTACGCCAATGTCTATCTGTATCTATAACTATATCCCTATCTGTAAGTACAGTAAAACCTCCGTTTTGCGACCCTCTCTTAAACGACTTCCTTCCGACCGGAAACAAAATTCACCGATGTTTTGTACTACAGAAACGACCCCTCTTAATACGACTCCTTCTAAAACGCGACTTGCGACCTTCAGATAATCCAATTTTACGACTTAGCGCCAGAAAAATTCAGAATCTAAAGCAATGCTATAGTTGGGCGCTTGAAGATAAAAGTTTTGTTTACAATTTTTAACAGCAGACGATGCACTAAAGCAACTAGGAAAGTAGCGAAGGGGAAATAACTGACCAGATTTGCCCTGAGTATGGGGCCTTTCAGACCTTGCCGACACCATGTCTTGTGTTCAAAGGACATACTATAAGAACATGCACGGGTGGGTCAACAACAACGAAAATAACTATTCAATGATAGGATAAAAAAACTACAACCAATATCAATGCGTTTATCTTATACATAAATAGTTACAACTCGTAACATGTGTTCAGCACTTACACACGCTTTAAAACAGCTTACATACCAGCATTGATTTTTATTTTTGAATCAGAATCAGAAAAGGGAGGCAGTGACTGCATTGGTTGTGAGACAGAGTTTAATCTCTATTTCTGAACGAAAGCTGGCAGATATTGCCCACTATTAATGGTACGTGTATTTTTTTAAAAACTTCTTTACTTAATTTTTTAAATGTCGTTTTTCGAAAATGTCCCTACATCTTGTTTAAAAGACCCCTCTACTCCACGACCTCGTTTTAATGTCAATTGAAAGGTCGTAAAACGGAGGCTTGGATGTGTATCTAAATCTAAATACAAAACAGGGAGAGGTGCTCACCTCACTCGTGTCGTGAGCGAGGCTGCTGCGGGCGACTTTCAGGTGAGGCACGCACGTGACCCGTGCCGTGAGCCAGGGTGGGTAGCTTTGAAGTTAATATCTCTAGTTTCTAGACCAAGAAAGATAAATAACATAAAAAACTCTCTCCCCCCTCCCCCCCCCCAAAAAAAAAGAAGGGTTTTTTTTCGAATAAATCCTTGAGATGGATGTTTGCTGTTGTATTGATGTAATTGTAAGTGATTTATCATTTATTAAGAAGCGGTTGTGTAAATGGGTCAACTTCTGGCAAAAAACACGTTTCATATTTCCTTCATTTTCCACTTGAAAACTACAGCTACAGTTACACAATTAATCTCCACACCAACCAAAACACGCAACTATGGAACTAATCAAAATTTCACACATCTTCGCCTTGGAAAAAAAAAAAAAAAAGGAAAAAACTGACTTTTGGGGATTGGGGGTGGAGCGGTGGGATGAAATTTTGAAAGACTGTGTTGAGATCGGCAACGAGTAAATATGCCAAGTTTCAGCTCGATAGGGCGACGGGAAGTGGGTCAGTTAACCGCCAGAAGCTTTTGCCTTTAAAAAAACAACAACAGATACACACGAACGAAAGCGAAGTTAACATTAATGATTTAAAGAGGTAAGAATAATACAGAATACAAACTTCTGAATTAGGTCATGATGATACAGACCTAGTGAATTGGCAGACACTTACAGGTAAAGCACCAGAGGGCTTCACGCCATTTTTCACGCCGTAACATTTCTGAGACTAAGATTTCGCTCGGAAGTGCAGTCTGCTGGGTGCGTCTTTGCAGTAATGCGGCTTGAACGCCCGTATGGGGGTTTAGCAGGAGATCGTCGTCCACACTTGACCTGGCTTTCCCCGTGGCAACTGATTAAACATCTCTTCTTCTTTTTTTTTTTTTCCTTGCTGAGAAATTTGTTTAAAAGCTGTTGAGGTAATTTTCTAGAAGATTTTACCCCTCTTTCCTCTCACTCAAACTATTTCTCTCTCTCTCTCTCTCTCTCTCTCTCACACACACACACACACTCTTTGTGTGATATATATATATATATATATAATTCTCCATATCTCTCTTCCTCTCTCATTCACACTCTATTTCTCTCTCTTAATAATCACGATTTTTCCTTCCCTCTTTTCTCCTCTCCCAAACTTTCTCTCTTTGAATCTCTCTCTCCCTCTCTCTCTCCCTCTCTCCCTCCCTCTCTCTCTCTCCCTCTCTAAATCACTCCTTATCTCTCTCTCTCAATCTCTCTCAATCTCTCTCAATCTCTCTCAAACTCTTCATAAAATCAAATCATCACCCTCAAAGTCAGTATCCTACACTGTGCAATGGATGATACTTGCGCTTGAGAAATGCTTCAGATGTCTTACGTTTATATTATTCTGGATGTAAATCTTGTCATCATCATGTTTTTAAAATGAATGAGTACAATGTAACTGTAACACAACACTCTGTAGTGTAGCTTCGAAACAACATACACAAACCTCTTACTCCCTCAATCTAAACTCTCTTTATGTCGTTCTCTTCCCAGCAACTTTATTGTCATATTTCTTGCTTTATTATTATGCAACTATATTTAAACATTATACTCAGGGCCGTCTGTTACAAAACATAATCATAAATAAACTATAAATAATCACAGAGGGTAATAAATTATCATAATTGACAGAACAAATTATTTAATACAAATCGACATAATAGTTTGCGTAATTGTTGTGTGCAGAGAATTGTTTTGTTATTGGTTAAAGTCAATGGTCTTAAGGATGTCATTTTCCATGCACATAAGTGAAAGCCAGTTCAAACGTTTTTGTCCTATTGTAATGCGAAGCTGATTCTTACCTTATTTATTTGGATTCATATCTGGGAAAAGTAACGCTTGATGACGAGAGTTATCCCCCTTTAAAAATGTAAAAATTTTCCAACTTAGATTGGCATTTATTATAATAATTTTGGAATGCGCTGATATATAGCGTGGGTTAAATTGGGTAATTGGGAATTTTAAATCCAATTAAATTTTCAAAATCTTTCAATATTCATTAAAAATATGTAAAGCATGTTGCCTCTATAAGAGTGAGTCTCCTAGAAACGTGGTGGGGACCGTACAAGCGTGGAGCCCTGGGCCAGTGCCCACTGGGTCCATGCCTTAAGACGGCACTGATCATACTATACCTATTTACATATTATACTATTCTCTATTTACACACTATACTATTCTCTATTTAAAAATCATTTTTTTTCTATTTTCTCATCATACTATCCTCTATTTACACATCATATTATTATATATTCACAAATCATACCATCCTCTATTTACAAATCATTCTATCCTCTATTAACACAGCATACTATTATCTATTTACACATCTTACTATTCCCTATTTACACATCTTACTATTCCTTGTTTTAATATCATACTTTCCTCTATTTACACATCATATTATCCTCTATTTACAAATTATAATATTCTCTATCTACACATCATACTACCCTCTGCCCATTTACCTAGCCCACCCTTAACCACGCTCTCTGATACCCATTTTTTTTTGGTTCTATTTCTAGCGCTCTTTCTCCTATCCAACGCCGGCCTTAGGTAAATTTTCGCACTGTGCAAAGCTTCCGTTCGGCGCCCCATTCCTAGTATCTGTATGGATCCACTCTTTTTCCGATTACTTTTTCTGCTTTGCGCTTGCGATTTTGCGCCCCGGAAAGCTTTTTTGCTCCCAATTTTCTTTCTCCTGAAATAATTGTAAGGGGGACAAGAAAATACGGTATTAATTTCCCTTTCGGCGTGTCCCAAACCCCAGCGGTAGTATTCAAATGAAGAATGCAACTTTCACTGTATGGAATCTCATTGTATGAAAACTCACTGAATGAAAAGCGATTGTTCGAAAATCGAGAATACCGTTTCCCGACCCCCGGACCCGAGGTTCACACTTCACTATAATAAACTAACGGAACTTAAATATTTTATGGCCACGGCGCCCTGTGCAAGGGCACATGTCACACACCCTAAAGGCCGGCGTTGCCCTATTGACATTTTATTTCTCTTCCTCCCCCCCCATCTCTCTCTCTCTCTCTCTCTTACTCACACACACATACAAACACTCTCTTACGCAGAGAAACACTTAATACATTCAGCTTTGATAAATTTCCATTGCGCCACCCCCACTTTCTCTTCCCTGAAGACTATCTGTGACTTGAGCCAGACTTTCTGTGACTTGAGCCAGAGTGTGATGGCGTCGACCAGCGACTGGGACCCGTGGGGGACAGAGAATCAGACAACAGACAAACCACTCACGCCCCTGCCGGGTGACCTGCTCCAAGTATGGCACGTGGCGTCAGCACAGGCTCTCTCCACGAGAGGGAAATATCCCAGAGTACCTTTTCCCCGATCACACGTGAGCCCCGCCGAGCCACCCAGCCTGACATTTTTACCACAATACGAATGCGATTATTCAAGAGTACTCTCCTATTCATGTCCGGCAGATACGCCAGAATTACATCTATCGGCTATACATTCTCCGAAGACTTGCCAGTTGAGCGCCACAAACCAAGGGAGATCGAAACTGAAAATGGATAAAAGAAGTGCGAAAAGACCGAATAGTAAAATTGTTTTGGGTGTAAGTCTAAAAGTAAAACATACACCCCGCAAGCAGCAGACACAGCCAAAGTCTGTTTTAGGAATAGACGAGCAAATAGCTAGCGACACTCTCCAAACCCACGAACGCGAAGCGCTAAACGGTAAAAAAAGACGGAAGAAATACTTGGCTCAGCACACCTACGACATGAGCTTCCCGCCTCTCTTCGACAAAGCTCGCCTCGGCGGCTCTCACCACCTGACCCCTCACCGCCAGAAACGCTCCAAAACTCAAGAGACAAAGTCCGACATCGGCTGCTCGATTAAATGCCAGACGTTTCAATCCCTGCCCCGTTTGCATTCCACGTTTTGGGACTACGGGCCCGGCGAGCTGGTTGTCCAAGCCAAAGAAAGCCCCACGGAGACCAGCTCGACGGAGCGAGAAGGCTCTAAGATGGCACCGAAAACGCTAGAGCAAACAACACGTGCCCACAACAGCGACAGCCTTTACTTTTCGTGCTTCCCACTCCTGGTAGAGAAAAGCGACAATCAGAATAGACAAAAGAACAAGACTTTCTCCAGGCTGCTGAGGGGGAGATGCGCGCTGGTCACGCCCGAGCTGGACAAGGCCGGCTTCGACATGATTCAGCCGGACGTGCGGAGGTCGGAGCTCCGGGACAAGGTCGCGATCTCGAGAAGCGCCATGACCCAAACCGGGAAACAGAGGAACGACCCCAAAAGTATGTACCGGAAGCACCGGAGCTGCATGGCGGCATCAAAGGACAACGGGTTGTTGGAAGATGCTCGAGACGCCGGGTTGGTGCTCCAGAACATTAGGCGATCGTTTGACACACCTGTGGTGTCTTATCAGGTAAGAATTCATTCGCACCCATATTTTGCACATGCTCCTTCCAGTTTTCACATCACATCACAATCCATCAATTTATCACTTTTATCTATAATATTCATATTATAATCATTTGAAACCATGCGTGCTATCATGCTATTTTCTTTATAATCCTTTTTTTCTAAAACTCCTAGCAGTATCCGAAACATCAGCCTCCCAACTTCTTTCCGAACGTGTGGCAGGCGATTCTCAGAAGCCGGGATAAAAAGACTCCCGAGGCGGAACAAACAGACAGCCACAACTCGACCTCTGAAGACGACGAGCCGGCAGTGACGACAGAGGCCGACACGAACGCCAGCCAATCACAGAACTCGGCCGCGAAGTCTGCCTCGTACAGCTCCGTCTGGCCGCCGTCGGAATCACGCGACGAGGTCAGCCAATGCAGCGCGTCCTCTGCCGGGGACCACGTGGGCCGAAACAAGGGCAAAGGGAAAAAGCCGGCCAAGCTCCCCGCGAAGGGCGGCAAGAACGACGGCACGGGTTTGTTCACCGTCCTGAAAGAAGTAAGAGAGATCCTGTTCGCACCGTACGACCCGTACAGTCACCAGGACGTCGATGATGCTGACTTGCCAGAGTGGCGTGGGTTCGAATCCTCCAATCAGGACGCCGATAATAAACAGAATGCAGTGCAGTGTGGTAATTTAATGCTTTGAGAATTATCCCTTCTAAAGTAATTTAAATTTTCCCAGCACGAGGTTAATTTTATTTAGATTTACCCAAGATGTATCCAAGTTTACAATTCAAATTTTTTTCCCAAGATATTCTCCAGTAAATTTTAAAAAAATTATAACACATGGGCAAAGACAACATATAGCCCTGGTTTTTGGAAAACTCGTTAAATTGTCAACTTTAAAAAAAAAAAAGACCTAATAGTAAACATTAAATAAAAATGAAATAGTAATTATCTTCATAATTTAGGATCATGTGACAATTATGTTTAAAAATGAGTTTTGTCTCGTTTTCGCTCCCACCCATAGAATCTCAATCTTTATTCCCCCCCCCCTTCTTCTTTCAGTAGTGTTTCAACCCGACATCACCCCATCCCATCCCTTCATCGTTTCATTTCACTATCTAACATTCGCCCGTACCTTCCTTCCCACACAAAGGCTGTTTGCCCGAACCGTCCGCCACAGAGGCGGACGCCAAGAGACACACGGTCGCCTCACCGAAGCTGAACTACGACGAGGTCAAGCGGGAGTGCTCCGTTAAAGGTTACGAGGTCCTCCGAGGTCTGTGGCGTGGCGCCAGTCACCAACATACTAAAATTTTTCTGGCATGTAACAGGGTTAAGCCAGAGTTTTCTCCGGTAGGTCAGACGCGAAGCGCTGGTGTTGTTAGTGCCATGCGTTTGACAATGCAACAGAGTTCAAGGGCTGGTGTCTAAATCAGGGTTAGTGTCCCAATCAGGGTTAGTGTCTAAATCAGGGTTAGTGTCTAAATCAGGGTTAGTGTCTAAATGAGGGTTAGTGTCTAAATCAGGGTTAGTGTCTTAATCAGGGTTAGTGTCCAAATCAGGGTTAGTGTCTAAATCAGGGTTAGTGTCCAAATCAGGGTTAGTGTCTAAATCAGGGTTAGTGTCCAAATCAGGGTTAGTGTCTAAATCAGGGTTAGTGTCCAAATCAGGGTTAGTGTCTAAATCAGGGTTAGTGTCTAAATAAGGGTTAGTGTCTAAATCAGGGTTAGTGTCCAAATCAGGGTTAGTGTCTAAATCAGTGTTAGTGTCCAAATCAGGGTTAGTGTCTAAATCAGGGTTAGTGTCTAAATCAGGGTTAGGGTCCAAATCAGGGTTAGTGTCTAAATCAGTGTTAGTGTCCAAATCAGGGTTAGTGTCTAAATCAGGGTTAGTGTCAAAATCAGGGTTAGTGTCCAAATCAGGGTTAGTGTCTAAATCAGGGTTAGTGTCTAAATCAGGGTTAGTGTCCAAATAAGGGTTAGTGTCTAAATCAGGGTTAGTGTCTAAATCAGGGTTAGTGTCTAAATCAGGGTTAGTGTCCAAATCATGGTTAGTGTCTAAATCAGGGTTAGGGTCTAAATCAGGGTTAGTGTCCAAATCAGGGTTAATGTCTAAATCAGGGTTAGTGTCCAAATCAAGGTTAGTGTCTAAATCAGGGTTAGTGTCTAAATCAGGGTTAGTGTCCAAATCAGGGTTAGTGTCTAAATCAGGGTTAGTGTCTAAATCAGGGTTAGTGTCCAAATCAAGGTTAGTGTCCAAATCAGGGTTAGGGTCTAAATCAGGGTTAGTGTCTAAATCAGGGTTAGTGTCTAAATCAGGGTTAGTGTCCAAATCAGGGTAAGTGTCCAAATCAGGGTTAGGGTCTAAATCGGGGTAAGAGTCCAAATCAGGGTTAGTGTCTAAATCAGGGTTAGTGTCTAAATCAGGGTTAGTGTCTAAATCAGGGTTAGTGTCTAAATCAGGGTTAGTGTCCAAATCAGGGTTAGTGTCTAAATCAGGGTTAGTGTCTAAATCAGGGTTAGTGTCTAAATCAGGGTGAGTGTCTAAATCAGGGTTAGTGTCCAAATCAGGGTTAGTGTCTGAATCAGGGTTAGTGTCTAAATCAGGGTTAGTGTCCAAATCAGTGTTAGTGTCTAAATCAGGTTTAGTGTCCAAATCAGGGTTAGTGTCCAAATTAGGGTTAGTGTCTAAATCATATAGGGTCTAAATCAAGGTTAGTGTCTAAATCAGGGTTAGTGTCTAAATCAGGGTTAGTGTCTAAATCAGGGTTAGTGTCTAAATCAGGGTTAGTGTCTAAATCAGGGTTAGTGTCTAAATCAGGGTTAGTGTCTAAATCAGGCTTAGTGTCTAAATCAGGGTTAGTGTCTAAATCAGGGTAAGTGTCTAAATCAGGGTGAGTGTCTAAATCAGGGTTAGTGTCCAAATCAGGGTTAGTGTCTAAATCAGGGTTAGTGTCCAAGTCAGGGTTAGTGTCTAAATCAGGGTTAGTGTCTAAATGAGGGTTAGTGTCTAAATCAGGGTTAGTGTCTAAATCAGGGTAAGTGTCTAAATCAGGGTGAGTGTCTAAATCAGGGTTAGTGTCCAAATCAGGGTTAGTGTCTAAATCAGGGTTAGTGTCTAAAATAGGGTTTGTGTCCAAATCAGGGTAAGTGTCCAAATCAGGGTTAGGGTCTAAATCAGGGTTAGTGTCTAAATCAGGGTTAGTGTCTAAATCAGGGTGAGTGTCTAAATCAGGGTTAGTGTCCAAATCAGGGTTAGTGTCTGAATCAGGGTTAGTGTCTAAATCAGGGTTAGTGTCCAAATCAGGGTTAGTGTCTAAATCAGGGTTAGTGTCTAAATCAGGTTTAGTGTCTAAATCAGGGTTAGTGTCTAAATCAGGGTTAGTGTCTAAATCAGGGTGAGTGTCTAAATTACGGGGCAGTTCAAGGGTTAGGGTCTAAATCAGGGTGAGTGTCTAAATCAGGGTTAGTGTCCAAATCAGGGTTAGTGTCTAAATCAGGGTTAGTGTCTAAATCAGGGTTAGTGTCTAAATCAGGGTTAGTGTCTAAATCAGGGTTAGTGTCTAAATCAGGGTTAGTGTCTAAATCAGGGTGAGTGTCTAAATTACGGGTCAGTTCAAGGGTTAGTGTCTAAATCAGGGTTAGTGTCTAAATCAGGGTTAGTGTCTAAATCAGGGTGAGTGTCTAAATTACAGGTCAGTTCAAGGGTTATTGTCTAAATCAGGGTTAGTGTCTCAAACAGGGTTAGTGTCTAAATCAGGGTGAGTGTCTAAATTACGGGTCAGTTCAAGGGTTAGTGTCTAAATCAGGGTTAGTGTCTAAATTACGGGTCAGTTCAAGTGTTAGTGTCTAAATCAGGGTGAGTGTCTAAATTACGGGTCAGTTCAAGGGTTAGTGTCTAAATCAGGGTGAGTGTCTAAATTATGGGTCATTTCAAGGGTTAGTGTCTAAATCAGGGTTAGTGTCTAAATCAGGGTGAGTGTCTAAATTACGGGTCAGTTCAAGGGTTAGTGTCTAAATCAGGGTTAGTGTCTAAATCAGGGTGAGTGTCTAAATTACGGGTCAGTTCAAGGGTTAGTGTCTAAATCAGGGTGAGTGTCTAAATTACGGGTCAGTTTAAGGGTTAGTGTCTAAATCAGGGTTAGTGTCTAAATCAGGGTTAGTGTCTAAATTACGGGTCAGTTCAAGGGTTAGTGTCTAAATCAGGGTGAGTGTCTAAATTACGGGTCAGTTCAAGGGTGAGTGTCTAAATCAGGGTGAGTGTCTAAATTACGGGTCAGTTCAAGGGTTAGTGTCTAAATCAGGGTGAGTGTCTAAATCAGGGTGAGTGTCTAAATTACGGGTCAGTTCAAGGGTTAGTGTCTAAATCAGGGTGAGTGTCTAAATTACGGGTCAGTTCAAGGGTTAGTGTCTAAATCAGGGTGAGTGTCTAAATCAGGGTGAGTGTCTAAATTACGGGTCAGTTCAAGGGTGAGTGTCTAAAGAATGATAATGATTAGACCGTGGTCAGGTTTTGCCATAACAAGTAAACAAGTGGTAGGAGAGAATCCAAAAGAAAACAAAAACAAAGAACCCGTTGACAGAAATTAACAGTCAAAATGAAATATTCACTTTTCAAAGAACGTGTCCTATAAAGGCTATGTCAAACCAGAGAGTTCCTAATTCAGAGTCTAACTAAATGAAAAGTTGTTGATCAGAATTGGGGGGAAGAATGCCCATCGTGCGGTTTGCATTCCCCTGCCTTTCCCATGCAAAAATATAGATTGTTGTTTTTTTAAAAATTACTATGCAAACATGTACTTGTACCTTTAAGAAGAAGTTCTGTTCAGTCTTTGTGTATTTAAGGACTGCTCAACAGCAGACGTTACAATCTTATCAAATTACATCACTAATTCTAGTTCTAGAAAACAAAGATGTCTATTTTAAGTGTGTTTCTGTTTGCCAGGTAGAAATCGTGGCATTCGAACAGCCATACAGCAACCTAACCAGCAGCCTGTTTGCTGCGTACGGCAAAGCGACAGCCAGGCACCGCATCAACAACAGGATACCAGCGATACCGGCACAGAAAAACTTGGTAAGTTTGGTGAAACCCAACAGGTTTCTAGATATAACAGGTCTCTAGCTATGACAGGTCTTCAGGTCTCTAGCTTTACCAGGTACAATGGCGTAGCAAGGGAGGTGCGGACCGCACTGGGTGACACCGGGGGGGGGGGGGGGGTGACACCAAATGGGAAAAAATGCTCCGTCTAATCGAATTTCATTAAAGGAAAACCGATTACACGTAAATTGTCCATACTTGTAACCAATCCAAAATGCGCGCTTCATTTAGAATTCAAGGATGATGCGTTAGAAATGTGGTGACCCTATAATTAAGTCAGAAAAACCCCGTTTTTATCATGATTCAACGCCGATTGAAGTTTTCGGTAACTTTCGTAAGTGACAGGAAGGAAGCTATATTTATCTAATTTCTGAGAAATAACGCTTCCCATTGATACAAAGTACGATGTGGTCGGGCGATTCTAAGAACATGAATCGAAACATTAAAAACACTTTTAAAATGACTTTTTACTCATTTATAGTCTATAGTGTTTACTAGATCATATTTTTCACAGCATTCTTATATCTTTTAATAATTAATTTGAATCCATTACAAAAAAAAAGTTTTTGAAACCAAATAGATCAATATTATAACCAGAAAAACTCAAACATTAATATTTTTGTCCACTCGTCACTAGCACCACACCACGCCATTTGATGAAGATTGTCATACAGCAGAAGGTCCTTTACATGCTGTCTGTAGTTTCACGTTTATTTGCTACCCGACCTTTTAGTTAATTAGGAACAAGCTTCCTTGTCGCTCTCAGAAACAGCCAGACACTGGAGTCTTTCAAAACCGAATTGAAAACGTGTCTATTTCGCAAACACCTGTTGGGGTGAATTTGTCTACCATCTTTTCCAGCTAGCTATTAATCTCCTAGATGTAAAGAGGCCTGTGTTGTTTATGGCTGCAAGGGATGAAAGACTTAGAATGGGTATTCTCCTAGGTAGTTTTTGTAATGTTGCGTTTTGTATTTCAATGTGGTATAATATAGATTTTTTCATTTCTCTTTTAATAAGGATGACTTTGTACCGCGCTTTGAGCCTTTGGGGATGAAGTGTGATTTTCAAATAAACTTTATTATTATTATTTTTCTTGTCATAGTTATTTAGGAAAAGCATTTTAACAAGAAGAAATCAGTCGTGGAAAACGGGGGAGTGGGGGTGGCTAGCTATAACATTTATCTAGCTATAGCAGGTATCTAGCTATAACAGGTATTTAGCTATAATCTACTCTAGCTATAACCTAATTACTTTCTTACCTCAGGCTTTTTTTATGTATATCTTTAAATTCAAAATGGGCCCCCCCCCCCCCCCCATACCTCCACACCCGACAGGTGATGCTGTTGCACAGGTTCTGCACCACTAACGCGGTGTACCAGGTCACGGAACATTTCCCCTGGCCGTCCTTGGCCCACCTCATCAGCACGTCCACCAACGGCTGGGTGGGGGCTGTGAGGAAGGGGCTGACGGAGGAGACGCGCAGAAGCATCTTCAGGCAGATCTGCAGCGGCATGTCCCACCTCCACCTAATAGGAGTCATACACGGGTAGGTACACATCTGCAGCGGCATGTCCCACCTACACCTCATAGGAGTCATACACGGGTATGTATACATCTGTAGAGCATGTCCCACCTCCACCTCATAGGAGTCATACACGGGTATGTATACATCTGTAGTGGCATGTCCCACCTCCACCTGATAGGAGTCATACACGGGTAGGTATACACCTTCACCTGATAGGAGTCATACACGGGTAGGTACACATCTGTAGCGGCATGTCCCACCTCCACCTCATAGGAGTCATACACGGGTATGTATACATCTGTAGTGGCATGTCCCACCTCCACCTCATAGGAGTCATACACGGGTATGTATACATCTGTAGTGGCATGTCCCACCTCCACCTGATAGGAGTCATACACGGGTATGTATACATCTGTAGCGGCATGTCCCACCTCCACGTTGTAGGAGTCATACACGGGTATGTATACATCTGTAGTGGCATGTCCCACCTAAACCTCATAGGAGTCATACACGGGTAGGTACACATCTGTAGCGGCATGTCCCACCTCCACCTCATAGGAGTCATACACGGGTATGTATACACCTTCACCTGATAGGTGTCATACACGGGTATGTATACATCTGTAGTGGCATGTCCCACCTCCACGTTGTAGGAGTCATGCATGGGTATGTGCAGATCTGTTACAACATCCGTAATGTTATATATACAAATGAAGGCATGTACATACTTGTTACAGCACTCAGCATGTGATGTACAAATCACGGTATGTACATACTGGTTAAAGCATCCATTATGTGATGTACAAATCAGGGCATGAATAGCTAGGACTTTTATATTGAACAAATAATGTGATAAAATAATGATCTTCTTTATCAGGGCTCCCCAAATTGTGGTGCGTGGACTGTCACCAGTCCGCGAACCTTATGTTGCCAGTCCGCGCAAAATGAATATTTTAGAGTCATATAAAAAAGAAACAGAACTAATAAATCTGCCAACGGTCCCTGATGAATGTTCCAAACTTTTCCACCGGTCGAAGAAATTAAAAAGTTTAAGAAACCCTGGCCTTTATTATAGAAGAGCATGTTTTAATTTGCCTAAGCCCCCCCCCCCCCCCCCCCCCCCCCCACTCCCACTTCGATAAACATTGACGTCCGTTTGTTATATTTGACCAATTTTTTCTTGAATTCATTGAAAAGAATAACATTAACAAGAGCAAAAAGAGGTAGAAATAGAAGGAGATGGCTCCGACTGTAGCCTGAGCCAACATCCCTGGTATACATGAGGTTTTAGGACAGGACGACTGAGCCAACGTCCCTGGGCCATTCCTTGGGCTTATTGGAAAACGCTGTTCCATTTCTCTTGATATCCCACCTCTGTAGATGACAGAAGATTCTTCCCCCCACAGCACATCATGGAATTGGGGGTGCAACGCGCCAGGCGACACATTTTGGGGTTCACACCTTGTAAAATGGGGAGCACTGCGTTCAGGGTTACAACAATAAGAATTATAAACGTTTGAGAACCTTCTAAACCCAAAAAATAAAAATTAAAATAGAGAATACAAACTTAACTTAACTTGGTATGAGTCCAGACCCGTCGCTTGACTTTTGGGGGACCTCTAGCTTGGTATGAGTCCAGACCCGTCGCTTAACTTTTGGGGGACCTCTAGCTTGGTATGAGTCCAGACCCGCCGCTTGACTTTTGAGGGACCTCTAGCTTGGTATGAGTCCAGACCCGTCGCTTGACTTTTGGGAGACCTCTAGCTTGGTATGAGTCCAGACCCGTCACTTGACTTTTGGGGGACCTCTAGCTTGGTATGTGTCCAGACCCGTCGCTTGACTTTTAGGGGACCTCTAACTTGGTATGTGTCCAGGGCCACGAATTGACTTTTGGGGGACCTCTAGCTTGACGTTTGGGGAACATCTAGCTTGACTTTTGGGGGACCTCTAGCTTGACTTTTGGGGGACCTCTAGCTTGACTTTTGGGGGACCTCTAGATTGACTTTTGAGGGACCTCTAGCTTGACTTTTGGGGGACCTCTAGATTGACTTTTGGGGGACCTCTAGATTGACTTTTGGGGGACCTCTAGATTGACTTTTGGGGGACCTCTAGCATGACTTTTGGGGGACCTCTAGCTTGCCTTTTGGGGGACCTCTAGATTGACTTTTGGGGGACCTCTAG